ACATTGGAGGAGATGCTCAATTAACCCTTGTTCTTCCAAATACTATCATATGCACTCGTTTGTAAAGATTATAAAGGATGGAGAGATGTTATTGGTTCTAAACTACATAAAATAATAAGGGTTAATAATTCCTCATAAAGGATATGTTTTAAGTTTGTTAAGACTTCATTGAATTCACAGAAGTAGAAGGTATAGTATAGGCAGATATTAAGAAAAGTATAGAAAGGGGGGAAGGTCCTCTTATTTTAGGCAAAGTTACACCCAAAGCACCTTGGACAATGCATATCTGTTGTTTGGGCAGCCTAGCTTTCGTGTCCCCTACTCTTAGAGGGGTTTCTCTGCTTCCTTCTTCCATTTTATGCAGTTTTTAGGGGGATTATAAGTTCATTTAGTGGGATGGTCTTAGGGTGTGAACACGTGATCCAACTGAAGCCATATATACATCTTTTTTTCACTCTGGAATTTGAATCTTGAACAGAAAGACATAAGCACCAGAAATGGAGGAAGTTGACTCATCCTGTGGTTGTACCTAGAAAAGCTTGTCCATTAGTACTTGTTAGGACACTAGAACTTCTCTGGTTCCTATCTTTTCCGGAAGTTTTCCCTTTGCTTCTGTTAGTTGTCCCATCCTTTTAACAAATTCTTCTTTTAAGTTTTATTTTTTTACTTAGCGAAAGGGGGTCTTGGTCACATGCAGCCATTGAACCCTTACTGAGTATGGCAGTTTTCCTCCAAGAACACTGCCACCAATTCTTCCCTTCCCTAGCGATGCGTGCTAGTCTACCTATTGAGAGGTGGAGAGAGACCCTTTTAAATCTTATCTGGCCTTTGACTGGACTCTCTATGGTTTAAGTGGCACTCTGCTAGTTGTGGGTCTAATTTAAGAGAACTGGCAGTACCCATTTTTTTCTTAGAATGTTCATCCTGGGGGAAGTCAGCTGCTACGTAAGAAGTCCAACTTCATTGTGATCTCCATGCTATGAGGGAGTCCAAGTCACATGGAGAGGCTGCGTGGAGAGGGAGAAAGATGCCTATTTCCCACTATAGGAGCCCAGGGATGTCAGACATGTGAGTGAAGAAGCCTTTAGGCGAAGAAGCCTTTAGTCCCAGCTGCCATATATCTACAACTACATGAGAGATCCCAAATGAAAAGTGCTTAGCTGAGCCCAGTCAACCTTAGACCTGTGAGTGTAAAAAAAATGTGTGCATGAGTATAACAAAAGACATATACTGAAATGGTCATAGAAATACTATTAATATGTCATAGCCCTGTATCAGTTTCTTAGGACTGCTATAATAAAGTACCACAAACTGGCGGCTGAAAACAAGAGAAATCTATTCACTCTCAGTTCTGGAGGCCAGAAGTTCAAAATCAAAGTGTCAGCAGGGCCATGCTCATTCTCAGACTTCAGGTAGAAATCTTCCTTGCCTCTTCCTAGCCTTTGGTGGTGGCCTTCAATCTTTGACATTCCTTGGCTTGCAGCTGCATCACTCCAATCTCTGCCTCTGTCGTCACCTGATGTTTTCTTTTTGTGTGTCTGCCTGAATCTGCAACCAAATTTTCTTCTTATAAGGACACCAGTCAAATTGAATTAAGGGCTTACCCTAATGACCTCATCTTAACTTGATTACATTTGCAAATACCCTATTTCTAAATAAGATCAAATTCATAGATACCAGCAGTTAGTATTTCAACATACAATTTTTTGCACAACTGAAAATTCAACCTATAACAAGCCCAACTGAAAAGCACCTCAATGACCACCAACAATGGAATGGAATATTTCACATGACTAAATACCACAGATTAATTAGAATAAACGTAATATGGACTAATTTCAAAGCATGGTATTGATGGGCAGAATAGAGTTCATAGTGTAAAATTCCATTTAGATAAAATTAGAAACCTGGGAAAAGGTTGTGATTTCTTTTAGTTGGTCTGAGTGACAATGCAGCATGTTCCTTTTGCAGAGCCATCAATCTTTACTCTATGTTAAAAATCAATACATTTTTTTTTTTTGCAGTTCTTGTACTTGTGGAGTTGACCCTACAGGAGAGATGGTCAATAATCAAAATAAATAGGAAAAAAATTATAGAGGATTAGCTGGAGCTATGTGCTGCTAATAGAGATAAAGCAGGGAAGGGACCAATGGGGACTAAAAGGGGGATGTGATGACCCAGCAATCTCATTCCTGAATATTTATCTAAACATTTTAAAATTTGGATCTGGAGAAACAGCTTCATTCCCATGTTCATTGTAGCATTATTCACAATAGCCAGGATATGAAAATAATGCAATTATCCACTGGATAGAGAAAACATGGTATACGCACAGAAGAGAGTATTATTCAGACTTAAGGAAATCCTGCCCTGTGTGACATAGAGGACATTATGCTAAGTGAAATAAGCCAGTGATAGAAGGACAAATACTGAATGATTCCAATTATATAAGGTATTAAAATAGTTAAACTCATAGAATCAGAGAATAGAATGGTGGTTTCCAGGGGATGGATGAAGGGGAAATGGGGAACTGTTGTTCAATGGGTCCAAGTTATAGTTATACAAAATGAGTAAGTTCCAGAGATCTGCTACACAACATAGCATCTATAGTTAACAATATGATGTTGCGTACTTAAAAACCTGTTGAAAAGGAATAAATCATGAAGGTAGACCTCATGTTAAGTTTTCTTACCCCCACCTCCCTGAAAAAAAAAAAAACAGCAAAGGGACACAAGAAATCTTTTGGAGGTAATGGATATTTTTATTGCCTTGATTGTGAGGACAGTATCAAAGGTGTATGCATATATCCAAACTCAGCAAAATGTATATATTAAATACATGCTTTTTAAAATATATTAAGTATACCTCAATAAATCTGCAAAAACAAAACAAAAGTGGTAAGAGAAAGGCAGTTGAGTAGCTGACAATGGTTTAATTCAGTAAGTTTAATTTAATTTTCACAAGTTTATGAGAGAGTGAGGGATTGTTACATATTAAAATAACATAGGCAAATGTGGATAAAGGTGCTAAACTAAACAACAACAAACAGCTAGGACAGTTTGCTGCTTAGAAAACACATTTATATTGCCCTGTGAATGAGGGTTGATGACATAGCTGGCCAATCACTGGCAGACAGACAGATGGATAGACAGACAGACAGACTACAAGGATAAAAACAGAGATGTAACGGCTTCCTATAACCTTGCTGGTCTTTGTCAGGGTTCAGAAGAGACTGCGTTTGTCATTAGAGCTTGAAGAGATAGTCAAGTAATCTCTGGTTGGTTTGTCTTGCTCAAGGTTTTAAAAATTGCAGAAGAAAAAAGGAATTTGTGGGACAGATAGGGAGTACCTTATCTAATTGAGAGAATGTGATATTTATCATATTACATAATTATAATACAATATTATTGTCTATATTCATTATACAGTGCATTAGCTCTCCATGGTTTATTTACTTGTTACAAATTTGTACCCTTGAACACCATCATTTTTGTTAATATTGTCCTCACCCCCTGGTAACCACTATTTTACTCTGTTTTTTACAGGTCTAACTTCTTTTAGATTCTACATATAAGTGATATCATATAGTTTTGTCTTTCTCTCTCTGACTTACCTCAGTATAATGTGTTAACGATCCATCCATGTTGTCACAAATGGAAGGAAATCCCCTTTTTCAAGGCTGAATAATATCTCATTGTCTATATGTCACATTAAGAAAAAAATCGTTTCATCCATTGTTGGACATTTGGTAGATTCTATATATTGGCTATTGTGAATAATGCTGCGATAAACATAGGAATGCATATATCTTATTGAAATCCTGTTTTCATTTCCTTTAAGAATATACCCAGAAGTGGAATTGCTGGATTATATGGTAGACCTATTTTTTTTTATTCTTTGAGGAAACTCCATGTTGTTTTCTACCCTTTTACTTTTGTCTATAGAGATTCACAGAAAAATACATTGCATAATACAAACGTTATTAAAAGGAATTTGAGATTAGTAGCAGTTGAGAAATCTTTCCCATGCAATTTACATATATTTTAATCTAGGAATATCAGAGTGGGAATAATTTCCAGGGTCTCATTCATATACTTACCCCAAAGTGCCTTTCTCTTCTTCTTTATAACTGAAGGCACAAATTTTTATTGCACCCTCACTTCTGAGGAGTTTCTTACATCACCCCTCCCATCCCATCTCTACAAGTAGGCTAAAGACAAAGTCCCTCTAGTTCCGTGGTTCTCAAAATTTAGGCACAGGATAATCATTTGGAGGGCTTGTTAACATACGTTGGTGAGTACCGAACCCAAAGTGTCAGCTTTGGAAGTCTGAAGTGAGGCCCAATAATCTGTATTTCTAGTGAAAGCCCAGGTGATGATGCTAAGTTGTTGGTGTAGGGACAATACTTGGAGAACTACTGCTTTATTTCTTTAAATCTGCTTCCCAAGGGAGGTTTAAAGGTGGTTATGCGGTAGAGGATTCTTGTCAATACTTACAAGGAAACACTAAAGGGATTACATTATTAGTGAGTCTTCGTTTTAGGTGACAGATATTAAAAGGCCACCCATACTTTCATTCTCCCTAGGGCAAGGCTGGCCCACACCTCCCACATGGAATCCAGGAAGAACCCATTTTCCCTATTGTATAAGAGGCCTGCAAGGATTTAATAAAATTAAGCTTTTAGGTGACGGACAGTTCAATAAATGGTGGCTGCTGCAACTCGTTTCCTGACATATAGCTAGTCAGCCAGCCAGCCACTGGGATCAGATGCGGTCACTTCTTGCAGGCTCACTAAGGGGCGGGACGAGGCGATACAGACAATGGCGCTTGCGCAGTTCAGGACGAGGCTTTGCAGCGGAGTGCCCTCGGCACCTCCGCAACCAGGTGAATGCTGTGGAGCAGAGGGCGGAGTCAGAGCCGCGCGTGAACGGAGGCTTCCGGCCACGTGGTAACGTTCTGTGCTAATGGTAGGACTGGACGTCACCCCGCTTCCTCACCCTGGCAACGGGCCGGTGACTACTTCCGGTGCTGTAAGGGCTCGGGGCTGACGCGGGTGAGTGTCCTTCTTCCTCACGCTGTCTGCGTCGCCGCCGCTCCCGCGTCGCTTCCTCTGTATGGGCCCCGTGCGCTCTTTGGGACCTTTTCACCAGGGCCGGGAGGGGGCGGTGCGCAGGAAACCCCTTGCCTGGGGCGGTGGCGACGGAGCGGACCCGGGACGCCCCTCATTCCCTCGTTCGCGCGTGGGGCCCTCCCGGCCCCCTTCCCAGCCTTGGCTCCAGTTTGGCCACCTCATTTCCTCTGCAGGGAAGGGACTGTTTGTGTGTGTGGAGTCCTCGCTGTCCTTCACTCACTTTGCAGTCTCTGGCCGCAGGTTTCCCCAACTCAGGCTCGCAGAGACTGGAGGGTGTGCGCCTTAGTCTTGCGTGGCCGATTGGGGCCAAGGAGCTCCACGTGTAATAGAGGCCAGGTTAGAGTCCTTCAGGACGTTAGCATTTACTCCCCAGGCGGAGGAAGAGGAGGAGGAAGGACCGAGATGAAGGAGGAGCAGCGGTTGGCGAGGAGGGTGGAAAACTGGAGCCTGAGGTGGCCTGGAAATAGAGGGCATCGTGTTTCCGGAAGGAGGGATTTCAACTTGAGTGGCTTCTGTAGAGTAGGGGAATAAAAGGTATTTTGGGGACCATGTGACTGAAATCGTTGACTATTAAAATAGGAATATATACATTCAGGAGTTTCATAATTTCCTCTTGTTTGTTTTAAATAAAGCTCCCCCCCCCCACCTCTAAAGCGACACATGCTTACTACACAATATCTGGGAAATGCAGATATATTTTAAGAGCTGAACTATGGTTCCACCAACCTGGCCTTTTGATCTTCTAAAAAAATATTTTATTTATTTATTTATTTTTAGAGAGCGGGTAAGGAGGGAGAAAGAGAGGGAGAGAAACAGGGATGTGTGAGAGACATGGATTGGTTGCCTCTCGTAGGCCCCCAACTAGGGAGGGCCCTCTCTGGCAAACCAGGCGTGTGCCCTGATTGGGAAGCCAACCAGCATCCTTTTGATCTCAGTCCACGGAGCCACACCAGCCAGGCTTTGATCTTTCTTTGTAATTTTTCATAGCATATTCTTAGTCTACTTTATGGTCGTAGAGTGTGTATAAAATATAATTGCAGTTGTCCATAGGTATCCACGAATTGCGTACGGAGATTAAACAACCACAGACTGAAAATGTTTGGGAAAAAATGCTACATTGTAAGGGTCTTGAGCATTCGTGGATTTTGGTATTTGAGAAGGTTCTGGAATTGATATCCTAGACTGATTTCTAGGAAGGACTGTAACTAAAAAGCGTACTTTTTGTACATTGCATCCATTATGTGGATAGATCTTTTTTTTTCCCTCAGAGATAAAATTCACATATCATAGAGTCCATTCTTTTAAATTGTAAAATTGATGTTTAGTATGAAATTCACACATCACTATGTAATTCCATAACATTTTTATCACCTCCAAAAGAAACTTTGTACCCATTATAGTCATTCCCTATTCAGTCATTTACCCCCTACCCCCCGACCTTGCTTCTTCAGTCCCTGGCACCCACTAATCTTTTTTTGTGTGTGTGTTTACGGTACCACACAGTACGTGCCCTTTTGTGTCTGGCTTATTTCACTTAGCATAATGTTTTCAAGGTTAATTTATGTATTGAATTAAGGATTACTCCATTCCTTTTTATGGCACAATATTATCCCATTACATGAATATGCCATGTTTTGTTAATGGGCATCTGGGTTGTTTCTGCTTTTTGACTATTAATAATTTTTCTGTAAACCTCCATGTACAAGGTTTTGTGTGGACATATGTTTTCAGTTCTCTGGTGTGTATACCTAGGAGTGGAATTTCTGGATCATGTGTTTTCAGAAGTGACCTGCACCAGCAGGTCATGAGGATTCAGATTTCTCTATATTCTTGTTAATACTTAACCTGCCTTTTTGATTTTGCTATACCGTTGGTTGTGAAATAATTTGCCATTGTGGTTTTGATTTGCACTTTCCTGACGGCTGATAATATTGAGCATTTTTTCCTGTGCTTATTGGACTTCTGCATATCTTTAGAGAAATGCTAATTTAATTCCTTTGCCCATTTTTATATTGAATTTTTTAAAATTTTATTTTAAAGTTGTGTGAGTCCTGTACATAGTCCAGATAAATCCCTTATCAGATATATGATATGCATATTTTTTTTCTATTTTCCCTGTTTTGTGGAGTTTCTTTTCACTTTTTTGAATGGTGTCCTTGAAGTGTTACTGGAAAAACCCGGGCTCTTCTCACCGACACAGTAAAGAATTACACATCAGTGAACTTACTAGTGCGTATGCAAAGTTTGTTAGTGCTAAATTCTAATGGGAGAGCAAAAGCAAGGGTGGCAAGAGCAGGGTGGTCAGAAGCCAGGTGGCCAGCACTCAGGTGGCCAGGGTGCACCTTTCCCCCTTGCCACCTGGCTCTTCACCCCTACTAAGTTGGCAGAGAGCCATGAACCAAGAGACGAGAGCAAGTCCTTTGTTCTGAGAACTTACATAGTTGGCAGGGTGGGGGTCAAGAAGTTACATATTGATTGACAGGTAAAGGTGGTGCCAGCTTTTGCCTGGGGAGATGAGACTACCCAAACTTAGTCTCATGTGTGCGGTCTTAGGTATGTGTGCGGGTCTGTTAGCCTGAATTCTTAACTTGCTCCAGACTCTATTTGTTCATTCTGCATCATGACAGAGGGCAGGCAATTAACCAAAGTTGTTTCATGGGCTTTTTCTCTGAGTACTGTAGACCCCCATCCCTTCAGACCTTGGAATGAATACACAGTCTCAGGGTTTTCCTTTTCCCTTCTAGTGGAGGTAATACTCACACACTTCCAAGGGCTTCCCCTCTGCACCATCTTGTTCGAAATGCCTGGTAGTCTTATTGAACCAGGCTCAGGACTACAGGGTCAATGGGTGAGACATGTCTTTCTTTGCTTTTAGCCTCCTGTATTAAGTTCTTTGTTAGATTACAATGATGAGGGTCCTGCCTTTATTTCCTTCTGGCCACTTAACTAGCTGCAATCTGAGTGTTAAAAGGTGTTGCCTGGCAATCAGGTCGCTAGCCGCTGGCCTGCAACAGCAACACAGTCTCAGAGTTCTTCCTATACTATCTCCTGCAGCAGAATTACTGGTCCAAGATTAAGTAAGTATGAAATTGTTTTGGCCCTGGCACGTGTGGCTCAGTTGGTTGGAGTGTGGACTTGTAATCCTAAACGTTACAGGTCTGATTCCAGTCAGGATACATACTTAGGTTGTGGGTTTGGTCCTGGTTGGGATGTGTACAAAAGACAGCCAGTCCATGTTCCTGTATTGCATCTATGTCTCTCTTTCCATCTCTCTGCCTCACTTCACTCTCTCTAAACTCAATAAGCATGTCCTCTGGTGAGGATTAAAAAACAACAAAACTGCCCTGACTGGTGTGGCTCAGTGGCTTGGGCATTGTGAAAGGTCGCAGGTTCAGTTCCTGGTCAGGGCACATGCCTGGGTTGCCAGTCTAGTCCCAGGTTGGGAGCATGAGAGAGGCAGCCAACTGATGTTTCTCTTCCTCTCTTTCTCCCTTCCCGTCTCTCTAAAAATAAATAAATGATTTTTTTTTTTTAAATAAAAGAAGTATGTTTTGGAGCTCATTGAACGGGGCATTAAACCTTCAGTGTCATGATGTTAAAAGCAACAAAATGCTTCCTGATTCAACAGTTGCTATAGCTTAAAGGCTGGGTTTCTGTAAAAGCCTTCTGTAAGAGGGATGGATTACACAACTTCCTCCTTCAACTGCTTCTAAAAGACTAAGTAAATCTTAGTCTTTCAACATGAGGGCAAACCGGACATGTGGTAGTTTTCTAAATGGTTTAAAGGAAAAAAAAATGTCATCATATGCAGTAGGAAAATAAAATTTTTGAGAGAAATAGGGTCAAAATTTAGACCATAAATCAGTGCCATGGAAGTTTCTGGAGCAAAAACAATGTTTCATTCTGAGTTTTTTTACTGGCCTTGATAATCAAGTTAGTTATGTTCATCGTGGTCTCAAAGATGGTTAATTTAAATATTCTCTTTGTAGTACAGTACCCAGTTTAAAAAAGTTCAAATACAAAAAGTTATTGGATAATCAAGTTTCCCTGTTATCTTGTCCCTTCAGTCTCCCAGTTTTCCTTAGAGGTATCCATGATACTGTTACATATGTCTGTATAGACTGGTTCATGCATAGAGTATATCTATCTGGAAAGATAGTATATCAAATTATACATTTTAAGGCTCTTGATACGAAAAAATGATTTTAAAAAATAGTTACATCAGTTTTTAGTAGCAGATACAGTGCTAGTTAGATTTCATTTTTGTTTGTATTTCTTTAATATTCTTTCCTTAATATTGGAATTCATTTATATTTCCTCTTATGTATTGTCTCCTAATGTCTTTTGTCTTGCTATTTGTTTTTACAGTATTAGAGTTGTCCTTTATGAGCTTTATTTTGGCAGGTTTTTGTGAATGGATGTTTTATGATAACCTGGACTTGAGGGAAGAAGTTAAATGCTTTTTGTAACTTTTAAGCTAAGAGGTATGTGAGCTGAACAAAGGTCAGGGCAGTAAGGAAAAGGAAGTTAAATGCTTGAGGAAGAAATCTGTAGGATTTGGAAACTGGGCGCAGTTGAAGATTACTTTAAGGCGAGTTAGAAAAGGATGGTGCCATTAAGAAAAATAAGGAGTAATGTGGGAAGAATTAGATTTCTGGGGAGAGGCGAATTTGTTTTAGGCAGGCTAAGAGTGATAACAGGTTGAGCTATCCAAACTTGCGGCTAGGGCTCAAGGGATAGAAGATAAAGAGTTAGGAATCATCTGATTTACTGAAAGTATAGTTTGAAAGATTGTTGGTGGATAAAATTGTTGAAGGAGACGTTTGAGAATAGGTGGATGGACAGGCTGTCTGCCAGTCATGTAAGAAGACAAAGTTGGGAGGGATCAGAGGAGCCATGAAGAGCTAGGATAGTAGATTGGCATGCCTACCAAGGAGAACAGGGGATCTAGAGAATCAAAGGTTGCAAGCAGAGGATTAGAAAAACCCATTCGGTTTGGTAAGTTGGAAGAGGTACATCATATGGGTAAAGATATAATTTATGAGAAACGAGAAGTTTTTAAAAATTCCCAAACAGCTTTATTAAGATATTATTTATTTATCATATAATTTACCCACTTAAAGTGTATAATTCAGTGGTATTTAGTATATTTAGAATTGTGCAAACATTGCCACAACCATTGCCACAATCAACTTTGGAACATTTTTTTGCCCCCAAGGGAAACCCTGCTCCTGTTAGCAGTCACTCCTCAACTCCCATTCATCCTTCCAGTCCTAGGCAATCACTAATCTAATTTCTGTTTATTTATATTTGTCTACCATAGACATTTCATATAAATGAAAATATGCAACATGTGGCCTTTTGTGTCTGATTTCTTTCATTGTTTTCAAGGTTAATTTATGCCACAGTATGTATCATACTCCATTCCTTTTTACAACTAATTGTTCCATTTTATGAATATATCATATTTAATCATCACCAGTTTATGGACATTTGAGGCATTCCACTTGTTGACTCTTATGAATAATTCTGCTCTAAATGTCCATGTACATGTTCTTGTGTGGGCATGTTTTACATTCTCTTGGGTCTCTGCCTAGGAGCGGAATTGCTGGGTCATATGCTGACTTTATGTCTAACTTTTCAAGCAACTGTGGCAGAGGATGGACAAGTTGCCAATGTGTTTTAGAAATAAAATTAATTTTAAATGATCATTGGTAGGAAATTGCAAAATGTCTATATTCAGACATTCAGAAATAAAGACATGATAAAAATGGGTCTATAAAATTGTCTTTTTGTTCTGTGAAACTGTAACATGCTTATGCATTGCCTTTCATTGGAAAACTTTAGTGTTGAGTGTTACGTCAAAGTTTAGCCGAAGTGCTAGACGTTTTTTGTGTGTATTGATGTATGATTCATCAATTTCAAATAGTGATTTGTAATAATGACTACAGATGTGATAAAAAACATTACTGGGATATTTGATGTTAATCTATGGTCATGATTGATTTTTAACTATTTAGTCTTAACCGTAGGGATCAAAAGCTGTTATTTATTTTTAATTTCGATCACCTGTAGTTTGTATGGCCCTAGAAGTTTAAGATCCAGAAAAATAAAAACAAAGACCTCTTGGGTCAGTATTGTTGATTGGCCATCTTTTTGTCTATTCCTTCCCTAAGTAGGAATAGTGTTGAGAAGTTTTAGAATGTGGGATTTCCCCTCTTACTGCAGTTTTTAAGGGGGATCTCATAGATTTGCCTTATTTTGGAACTTGAAATTAGCTAGTTACTTTGTGTTCCCATAAATAACTAACTAAATAACTAAATAAATAAATTTTATATGTAAGTAGTACATTCAGATTGTTCAAAATTGAAAGGTACAAAAATGATGAACAGTAAAACACCCATATCACCTTTATTCATCAGTTATCCAAATCTGCTGGTGACTACTATTTTTCTATTTTTTTGGTATCTTCTTCCAGATTTGTACTTTGCACATTTAGGCATATGTAATATTTTTTTCCCTCCCTCAGATATGGTACTACATATAATTGTGTATTTTTTTTGTACTTATCAAAATAACTTCAACATCTATCATTCCATATTTATATATTAAGAATGTTCTCATTTTTTTCCAGTGGTGGCTTTTATTTTTAACCAGTTTCATTAAGACATACTGTTGGTTTATATCTTTCCTATTATAGACCGTCCTTCAGTGTGTGTTTGTAATTTTGTTCAATTTTGCCAATTGCCTTTGTTGAGTTGTATTATTTTATGCTACCACTACTAATGTATGAGAATTCCTGTTTCTCATACCTTCAAAACATGAATTTTATCTTACTGTTTTTTTGTTACTTTACTTTTTGATGTTTGCCAATCCAAGTTTAAAAAAATGGTAGTTCAAGTGTAGTTTTAGTTTGCATCTTTCTTTTGAATGAGATTTAGCATCTTCTAGTATGTTTAAACTGTTCTGTAATTTTTATGTGAACTGAGATTGTCCCATTAGCTCTTTTTTGTCTTTTTTTAGTCTTTTGTTGGAACTCTTTATTTATTAGGTAGGTCAGACCTTTGATGGATTTTGAGTTGAACAAAAACTGATGTTGGAGTAGAAGTTGCTTCATTTCTAGTTGAATTAAAAACATTTTGGTAACCATTGCGAGTTGGAGGCCAGAGTTGTACTTGAGTCTACTTGAGTTCTTTTCCCAGTCCAGCAGAACTCTGGGGTCAGTGTTTTTGGAGGAGTTTATTGAGATGACATGGCAAGATAAATATGTTTCACATAGCCTCCGAGGGATGGTCGGTTGCTTAAGAAATAATGTTAATTCATCTTCTATGTTTTATTTTTTTCAGGCAAGCTTGAGAAGCAGTGTTTTAAAATCTTTCATATATGTATGTTTAAAGGTATTATAGCAAACTTTATTCATTATAAAATTATGTTCTAATTTTTATTTATTAAAAAAAAATGCATCTGAAAACAGTCTGAGTGGCCTGAAGTTTAATAACCCATACTGCTTGGATGTGTTTTTATTTTAACTGAAGCTCTTAATTTTCCAAAGCATGAGTTTTCATTCAACCTATTATTGTGGAAATGGGTGGGTCCAAGCTCATTTTATGGCTGGGTCATACATGATAGCCTGTAGAGGCTGGCAGATGAACCATGATCATTTAAATTCAACTGACACATGAATAAATAGAAATCTATCTCAGAGAAATAACCAAAGTTATTAAAGGTAATTGAGGCAGATCCTTGTGAAGTCTTTGGAAGAAAAATCATCCTTAGAAAGACAGGCACCACCACAAAACAAAAACAAAAACTGGCATTTAAACTCACTGTTTATTTAATCAGCTCAGCACTCTTTGTAATCAAAAATTTTTCCCTGTGTTTGTGAATATATGTAAACATTTTAATACAACAGTATATACCATTTGCCCTTTAATTTAAATGTTATATAATAAAAATTAAATGGACTCTTTTTAACCATGAATTAGAGGAAGTTAAAATATCATACTACAGTGCTCTCAGACCATCTCTGGTGTAAAGGACCAGCTTCAAAAAATTTTCAGTTCATTGCTGACTGGGAACTGAACAAAGAACAAAAACAAAATAAAACCAAAGCAAAACCCAAACAAAACTGAATTATGGAAGTGTGAATGAAAGATAAAAATAAAAGCTCAAGTTTTTATTAGATTTAGCAGATAAAATTGTTAAATTAAAAAAGATAAAAGTATAAATGAAACATGAAGAAATAGAAAAGATATACAAAGCTGTACATTTTTTATTGAAAATATGCATATAAAGCAATTAATATATTAATAAAATAATAATTTATTTCAGACTGGTAACAAACACTGGTACGCAGACCACACTTAGAGTAACAGTGCTTTTTTGGACTAGGCACCTCAGTCACTCTTTATATTACTATTTATGTTTTATAATAGAAAAGAAAGACTTTTGCTCCTTCCCGTTTCTCACTTTAGAATAAGGTAAAGATTTTACATAACAGTGCAAATCTAGGTTTAAGTAGTGTCAACCATGTTACTCTCAAATTTTCTTCAAACATATGTGTTGATTTTTTTAAATGATCCATTTTTCTTTAATATGAAATGTATTCTCCCATCATTACCGTTATTAAGCCAAGATTGTTAGAAACTTGTAAGTTTATGAGAAAAATTAGGAACTTTGTGGTGTAAGTTGCTGGTAATTTATTTTATTAAATTTTATGTTTCATTACTTATCTGTTGAGAAACTTGGAAATAATGCTTTCATAAAAATTAACAAGTATTTACACAACTGTTACTTTAATTTCTTGGTTTAGTCATATAATTTTGTTAGCATTTGTGTTTTACAGTTGAGCTATGGAGATCAGACTGTTTTTCTTAAAAGGACTTCATAGTGTGAATATATATGTGTATATATTGCTTCATTAAGCAGTAGTCTATAGATCTTAAGTGTTCTCATGACACAAAAAACTGTAAGTTGAGGTGATGGATGTGTAAACTAACCTTATTGCAATCATTTTGCAGTATATATCAATATCAAACCATCACGTTGTACACCTTAAACTTACATAAGGTTACATGTCAATTATATCTCAATAAAGCTGAATAAAAAGTAAGCAACAGCCCTGGCTGGTGTTGCTCAGTGGATTGAGTGCTGGCCAGCAAACCAAAAGGCTGCTGGTTCGATTCCCGGTCAGGGCACATGCCTGGGTTGTGGGCCAGGTCTCCAATTGGGGGTATGCCAAAGGCAATTGAGTGATGTTTTTTTCCCTCTCATTCTCCTTCCCTTCCCCTTTCTCTAAAAATAAATAAATAAAATCTTAGAAAAAGTAAGTAGCAATAATAAAGTCTAGGCTTTATTAGCAAGGTTTGGTGATGTTTCCAGCACTGCCTGTGATTCTAAAATGTCCCGTGGATTATTACCATTTGGTTTGGAGGAAGTAGAAAGTAATATTTAAGTTATATTGAGTTTTTCTTTAATGTAGATACAGTGAAAGATAAAATATCTTTGGACTCAGTATGAAGTCTTTTTATAACAGTTCTTTTGTTTATACAACTTCAGACAAGTACTATCAGTGGACAGAGATTTAAATTCTAACCTTTTTATATTCTTTGTATTACCCAGTTAAATAACTTTAAAGTGGTATTTTTTTGTTTTTTTTTGTAAGTTATCTTTGTACTAATTTATATAAGCTATGTGTGTGCTAGAGGAAAGGAATGTATACCATCTTTGTCTGTTTTCCTTTAGGGTAATTCCTCTCCTGCAGTTACTTTTGGATGGAAGTATGCTCTTTTTCCAATAGAAGATGGTAAACTTGGAGAATGACCATGGAGAAGGGGATGAGTTCTGGAGAAGGGCTGCCTTCCAGATCATCTCAGGTTTCGGCTGTTAAAATAACAGCCAAAGAATTGGAAACAAAGCAGTCACATAAAGAGAAGCGAGGGGGCTTTGTGTTGGTGCATGCAGGTAAACTCTAAGTGATTGAGTCGGAAGATGAGAATAATGTTGATTTTTTTCTTGCCTTAAACTACACTGAGAATTGAATTTCACCTTGTGAAGAGCACAGTACCAGAGAGGAATTGGAATCAAAAGAGATCAGCTTTGGTATAGTGAAGACCTCCCCTAATTACCCACTGGGAAGATCTTGTAATGACAGCTCTTCATATGTCTTCTTCAGTCCTCTACCCTATTATTTACTTTTACCCTATATAATAGATATATTTAGTGTTAAAACCAGACAAAGTACTTTTTTTAACCTCTGGTTTATAGTTTTAAAAACAGTGATGCTGAAAAAAAATTTTATTGACCCCCATATTCGATTGTGGCCATCCTGGAGTATATTTACACAGTGTTAGAGCTAGTTTGCCTTCTTAACATGATATGTGAGGAATCTTAAAACCAGAGATTCAGTGACTTCAGCCACATGGCTAGTTTGTTTTAGAGCTAAATTGAGAAACCTTTAAGTGGGCCCTTAAGTGCTGGTCTAGTGCTCTTGGCTATATGTGTGTATCAGCCTATGATCTCTACTTTAGAGGACCACAAGGACTGACAACTGAAATTTAACCCTTGGGTCCCCCATTATTGAAGGGTCTTGGATTTCAGAGTTTTGCATCTCTGCCCAGGTTTGTTCAGCAGGATTTTTTCTTTTTCTTTTCTTTTTTTTTTTTTAATTTAGTCATTTTTATTTGCCTGTATAGTATTCAGGTTCTAAAGTTTATGATTTCCCTGAAGGAAGAAGGAATGACTGGGTCCCCTTTTTGCTTTCCTCAGACAGCCAGGAAGTATGGGAACAAGATTAGTCTTGATATGGGGTTGAGGAGTGGAAATGTTTGCTGTCAAACTTGTGTCTTACTTGGTTCATTAACCTTTGGCTATATTTAGACTGGACATCTTGGAGGTCTTACAGAATCTGATCCAGAAGAATTAAAAAAAAGCATTTAATTTCCTTTTCTTTCAAATGATTTTACAAAGAAAAAAGTAATTTTATAGAAATAATTCTGGGACTAGAACCTCCTGCCAATGTTCAGACTCGAGGGCCAATGTTCTTTCTGGGACACCATATTGAAGGTACATCTTTCATAGTACCGAGTGAGTTGTTTTATTTAAGTATTTGACAACTGTACAAGAAATTTGAAATTTATAACAAGCGTTAAGCTAAAGCTTTTGATTAGTTAGGAAAGTGCTTGTTTCTATGACTATCATGATGTTATCAATTCTCTCTCAAATACAAACTTGATGGCTCCTAGATAAAGTTGGTGCTGGGGGCCAGCAGTAATGGGAGGAAATCTGGGTTATGGCAGGATTGTGTGAATTAAGGATGATCTCCCCTTCTAAATTTTTGAAAGTTCAGACAGGACGATTGATTATGCAGCAGCAGTATGTATCTTCTACAAATAAGGGACAAAATTTCAAATTCAAATTCAGTGTAGAGGTTTTAATGCTGATTTTTTTTTTAATATTAGAGATTTACCCACATTTTATTTGTTTGAGTAGTAGATTCTTTAGATTCTAGATTTTTCCCAGATCTGTCAACTACCTATATTTGTTTACCTGAAACTGGAAACATCGGTGTTTGTGCTGCCTGTCACTATAATAACCAATAAGTAGAGATACGGATTAAATCTTTATGGGTGCTTTATTCAGATGGCTGGCCATTTGAGAAGATGGGTTACGTACCCTGAAAAACTGTCTTAACATCTCATTTCAAGCCTACCTTTTTATAAGGAGAAGAGAGGGTAGGTAAGGGGTTTGGAAAACAGGTTAATTGGGTAAGGGTTGTAGTCGGGGGTGATTTTCCTATTATTTCTTTATCTGATCAACAATTCTTTATTTGCATTATGGAGTTCCCTAGGAACACAATGGCTCAGATACCATCTCCGTTGCTTGCAGATCCCCTGGACTGCAAAGGTTGAATTGCTCATTGATTTCCTGGAGTCCTGTGGTCACGCATTCCAGTTCCTGGAATAACTGTTTTCCACGCGCATTAATTACTTAAGCCTGTCAACTAAGGCTAAAATCTTTAACTCTTGAGTTTTCCTATCAGACCTAATGTTAAAAAAATGAAACACTTCGTTACCTTAAAATTTTAAAGATGAAACATATATTTACTAAAATGGAATGCCAGTATCACTTGCATGCAGAGAAAATGACTTTAAACCAGTGAAAACAGAGCAGTGTAATTAAATTTTAGCTAGATCCTATGGAATATCTGTGGCTTAGATCCTAAACCTACCTTTCCCTTGTTAAATAGAGTAATTACTGGAGCCATGTTGAGACTTTTTCCCCTATTCTAAGAGAATGTATATGTTAATGATATCAATGCTGTTATGCATTCACTTAAATGATCTATCTGGCAATAGTGTCCCATGCTTTGGGAAATGCAAAAGATTGGGGGTTGAGATTGAAGATGATGGATCTGAGATCAGATCTATTAGAGAACCATAAAGAGAGGCCTATTAAATATTGGCACAGATTCTATGAAGTTTTCCTGAGAAACAGGATTAGAATTTGGATGTGTTAAGGATTCCTGTTGCTTGGGCATCTTTTCTGCACTCTTGAGTCCAATAGCTTTTTGTCCAGTTCCTTCTCTGCCTTGAGAAATTGGGGTTTAGGTTGTATCAGTCTTCAGCCTCACAGGAGGAGCCGTGAGGTTTAGAGTTGTAGTTCTTAACCTTTTGTTGTACTCCTATGGGGTTGTGGGGCTTGGGTGGGGATAAAGCGGGGTGGGGTGGGGTGGCTTGGGTTGGGGTTCAGAACTTTGATTAGAAGCTTAATTATCACAAGAGTTTAAGGACTCTTATCTTGTTTTTTTCTTATTTAGATCATTCTCCAATCTGTAACTAAGCAAGTGTTAACCATTTTAGGGAAACAAATTTCAGAGCCATTCTCTTGAGGAAGTTGCTGGGTTTTTGATTAAGAGTCAGGGACCAACAGAATTTCTAATAGGCAGTCGTGCATTTACCATCACTGACGTTTCAGAGACACCCTGAGCTTATCCAGGTGAGAGGATGTAGGAGTGGTAGTATTGGTGGTGGTTGTGGATAGGTGGGGTGTAATACCTCTCAACTGTAAATGTTATTTAGAAACTAGTTTTGTGGTGTTACTTTTAAGAATTCTGGAATCCCAGATGGCAGGTGCTTTCTGAGGGTCAACAGAGAAGAACTTGAAGGGACTCTTTTCCCTGACACTGCCTGTGTTATCAACTCCAGACCAAAAAACTCCTGACTTTGGAGAGAGGTTTTTCAAAAGGAGGAAAGGTGACGTTGATGAAGCTTCTCTGGGGACATGAGCTACTTCTAGTGCCTCTCCCAGGAAAATAGCTTTTGAAAAAGAAGATAAGGCATGGTATTAAAAAGGTGTATGGTGGAGAAAGAAGCTATTAGATTTTTAAAACTCCACACAATTAAGACAATAGTTTTATTGTCATTACAGAGCATCAGTTTGTATGAACTATTTATATAGTATAAGCAAGGTCTCTGACATTTTAATGAATACTAATAATTGGTTGGTTTGTTTCACTACAGGTGCAGGTTATCATTCTGAATCCAAAGCTAAGGAATATAAACATGTATGTAAACGAGCTTGTCAGAAGGTATGATACAAACATTCCAGTTTTGACCATAAAGCAGCTTTACCTTGAAATTAAAAATTTTGAGGTTTGATTTATAAGATAATCTTTAGTTTGGATCATAAAATATTTTTGCTCATATTTGTGAGGTCTTTTGAGAGAGAGAGAGAGAGAGAGAGAGAGAGAGTGTGTTTGTGTATTTTTTCTTTTTTTAATTCAAATCATGCTTAGATCTTTCCTGGATTAAAGCCTGTATTTTTGGAATCATGGGCACGTAATCATTTATCTTTTAATCTTTGCAAAGGCGTTGAGCTCTATAGGAAACAGCTCAAAGGCAGTCAGTGTGTCTTTCTGTGAAGGGAAGGAAAAAAAATACTAACAAATGAAAATGGGTGCTTTTCTTTGAGATATTATCATGTATGTTTTCCTTCTGTTTTTCATCATGTAGTTTGTATCATAGAAATTCATTGTCATTCCTGAAGTTAGCTTTGCCCTTGTACTCTGTCGTGCTTTTTTCCTCTTTGGTTTTTGAGGTTTTGTTAAACAGTTGAATACTTAATGTGGAATCAGGAATGGAATCAGAACAAATAGTGTTTATTTTTATTTTGATCCTGTCTATATATTCTTGTAGGCAAACCTTTCATTTACTTTTATTTAAGTAGAATGTTAACTGGATATTGTAGATCAAGTAAATGAGTCTCTCAGTTCTTGATTTAAGTTTAATGCCATTTAAAAGAAAGATTGTACTTTATTAAAGATCCAAACTTTTTCTTATGAATGAAATCCCATACATAAATAAGAATATTTTGTTATAGGGATGTTTAAAAAAATTATAATAATGTTAAAATTTCTGTAAGCTCTTTTATTTTTTTATCTTATTTTTCAAAGTGTAAAATCTTTTCATTATCTGAAAAGAATGTTTTACTTCTATAGGACTACTGTAGTCCTAGAAACCTAATACATTTGGAGTGTGTAAGTAGCCTCCTCAATTTATACAGTGAATGAACTTCTTAAAAGTTTAATAGAATTCTCTTTTTAAGCCTTCTCTTTATTGACTAATGCGGAGCTTTAATAGTTCATTTAGAAATCAGTCTTCCTTCTCTGTCTTTCCTGTCCTAAGTTATACTCAAGAAGCAGGGTGATTTTATAGACCTTTACTCTCTGTAGTTTATATTACAAAAGAATATGATTTATTTATCTCACTATAAAATCCATTATAGTATCAAAAATGTGTTTGTTAAATGTATGTTTCCATCTAAGGATTCTGAAGTGCCTCTGTGATTGGGTGTCACTGTTTTTTTATAGTTAGGGGTGTGGAGAGTAGTAACAGTAGGAAGAGAACTTATTAGCTTAGTCTGATTTAAATATCTATATAAAATATGAATTATCAGGATGTTTAAACCAAACTGAATTCATATAATGTCTATGGCTATTTGACTTGCCTGTGATGAATGAAATCCTTGCACTTATTAAAATTCCTAGCACTTTGCATTTAATGGCTAGGTTTTTTTCCATTGTCTTAATTTGAAAAATATTAAGGGAGTTAAGTCATAAATTATCCTGAATGTAAGATAACTTGATTTTTATCCTACAATTGATTGTTTTAAACTGAGACTAGTTTATATCTTGAAGTATAGAATGGAAATAAGGATCAATTTTTACTAATTCTAAGTGTCTTTTACACTTGTTTAAGCCTTTGGAAAGTTTTTGGGTATGTTTGAGAAGTTGTGGTTTTAAAATAAATAATCTTTCCCCTTGGTTTCATAGGCAATTGAAAAGCTACAGGCTGGTGCTCTTGCGACAGATGCAGTGACTGCAGCTCTGGTGGAACTTGAGGTATTTCTTTTCTCTATGTTTTATTTAACATATTTGTGAGTATGTTTGTTACTGTTAAATGTCATGAAACTATTAAGTTAGTCAACCCTCAATTACATGTCTCATGTTTACCAACAATATTAACAAAGTTGTGAAGAAACCTGTGATATTGTTAGGTTGTTTTTATTGGGGACGTCTCTGAGCAATATAGGAAAATTGATTACATTTCTTTTTTCCCATTTTGTGAGACTCATGAATATAAAAGTTACTGGTTATTTAAATTACTGGATACTTAAATTTCCTTCATATTTTTAACAGGAAAATTCCTGAAGTTAGCGTCCCCCAAAGGAATATGTCTAAAGAGTTGGAAAACAAAAAATTCCAACTGTTATAGTCATTTCTAAAGTGGAAGAGAAAGTTTCCTGAACAACTGAATAGTTCGATATATGTTCTGAAGCTATGCTCTGTGAAGTATGTCTTGTCCAGTGTGGTGGTTAGGTTTCCAGTGAACTGTGGGCAGTGAGGAATTCAGTGGGGAGGTGCTCAAGTTTGCTGTAATTCTTTGTACTCCAGAGCGAGGGGCTCTCAGTTCTCATAGTGTGGAACTTTGATGATGAATTTGTCCAGGGGATATTGAGGCCTTCAGAAGACTGATTTCTGCCCAAACTTAGAGAAGATAGATTTGTATTAAGTCAGTTTAGAGGATTATAGTGAACAAATAATTTTTTGGTTGAGAAGACTACTTGGGGAATCAAATAAGACAGGAAGATAACATAGTGATGAGTTTGAGGGAGAAGGGGATAGTTAGATTTTCCCAAGTTGATTTGATTGTGGCCCTTGTGTTTAGGCTCTTATATCAGGGCACCTACCCTGTCATGCCAGGCCTTGCTTTTCCCTGTGAAAATTACCCAGGATTTTGCCAAAAGTCATAGCTGTGTTTTTTGTATATTCCCTTGCTTAATTGTGGAACTATATTTTGATCATGCTTTATAGATTTTAATATCTCCTGTTAACACTTCTAGCTTGGTCTTAGTCAAGGAGGGTAAACAAACATAGTAGGTGCCAGTTCTATTGGAGTTTGGTCCCAAGGGCATCTATCTGACTTTAGGTTATATGGTCCCCTCCTATTGTGACTGACACCAGTCATTAGCCATGTGTGTCTGGGCACCTCATAGCCTCTCCTTGATCCAGTTTTTCTATCTATAATATGTGGATAATAATGCCTGCTTTACAGAGTTGTGAAGATTAACTGAGTTAACAGTCCCTTAGAACTGTGTGTGGTACATGGTAAGCACTTCATAACTGTTAGCAATTATTAATATCATGAGGTGCTTTGGAATTGATATATATCAGGTTGGCTGTTTATGGTAACTAGTAATGACAAATTTTATAATCTTAAAGGTTAACTTAGATTATGGATAAAAGGAGGGAAAAAATTCAAGAAAAAAGATTAATGCATACTTAGCACCAAATTGTACCTTTACTCAGTATATACAAGGAAAGCTTCACCTAATTTAATTCAGTTGTTAATTGCAAATTACTCTCCTTTGTGCAGAAAATGATGTCCTGAGGTTACCTGAGATTACCAAGGCATGGAGTCACTGTGGGCCAGGGAAAGAAGGTTAATGAATAGCTGGGAGATATACTAGAATGACAATTATGAATACAAAATTGAGTAAAATTAAGTTTTCTTTTTTCTTTTCATTTTAGAATAACTTTAACTTCTCCAAGTCATACTTATATCAGATTGAATATTTTATTATATTTTTTACTCTGTGATGCATCAATCCTATTTTAAAAAGTTTGCTTATTTATACTTAAAATACAGTTTGGAATAATGTGTTATATATAAGTGAGCTTTATAACTTTGAGTGATGACCTGTGATTTTGAGTGTGGATATGGAGGGTTTCTTTTCTTTTCTTTTTTTTTTTTAAACAAATGTGTTCTCTTATTTTTGATTGTTACATGGGTAATGGTGGCATGGAATACTGTCGTAAGTGAAGAGAGTGGACTTCCCCCCCTTTAATTATTCAATTTGAGGAAGAATTTCAGTGAATTATCTTTAACAGTTCATTTTTATGTGGAATTTTTGATTGAAATACGTGTTAGTAGTTTAAAGGCTAAGGCTACGCTGGAAGAATATGTATCTTAAAAACTATGTTGGAAGTCATGCTTATAGTGCCCCCTGCAGTCCAGTCACCTTGCATAATAATTTTGATTCATCACCTTTAAATAGGGTGAGGTTTTTAAATAAAGAGTTTGGTTGAAGTATTATAATAGTTTGGGTCAATGGAAAGATATATGAAAATCAGAGTCTAATATTTTCTATACTTCAAGGAATATAAGCAACAATATTGAGTCCTTTCAATCCATTGAAAAGTCCCAGAGTATGATTTATACTACTATGTTTATTGAAGATAACTATAGTTTTTAGTTTTGATCAGTATATTCCGTGTCCTAATTCAATCTATACAGTCTTGACCTACTTATTGACTACATATGGACAATCATACCATTTCTTTTTGACTTTGAGATATGCTTTTTGACTAAAACAAAACTGTGCTTTTAAAACTTGCCTGTTACATTATTACTTAGGCAGATAACAAAAGTCATTTTGAGTTCCTTGAACTTTACTGACAGAATTGAAATGACTGAAATGGTTTAAATGGTCCCTATTGGCTAGAAGGACCTCGTAATTTGAAAAATATGAAAATTTGCACTTATCCAAATAGTAAAAATTTCACTAATCTCAACTTGATATCATAGAGGAGGAAGAGGCAAAGTGGAAGTAAAGAAAGTCTGTATAAGTATACATTATATTCAACCAAAAATGATGTACCTAGGTGGCCTATATATTTAATACACTCCACCTAGACACATCATTGTTCAGCTTTTCTTGGAAACCAATTATCTTGTGTAGTTTCATATATCTCATTTACCAGTACAGACAAATGGTGTTTTCCTAGGACTACTACTTCTGGGCACCGGAGTGGGTGTTTCTTTCATTTTAAAGAGGGAGGTAGGGCCAAATGCTAAGTTCCTGCCTATTAAAATGACTAGCTTCTCCCTTCAGGGTTTTGGGTGTGAAGTGACCACGGTTGTAGGAGAGGTGTTTTGTAGTGTGGAAATGAAAATATGACCCCACAGTGCATTTTGTTTTATCTGCAGAATGGGGGGAAGGAAATAGAAAGGTCAGTTTATATCAGTAGATCATATTTTAATAACTTATTGTTAAATTGATTTGGTTCTATTGTTTCACTTAGCTATTTAGAGCTTTTTTGAGATTATCTTTATAACTAACTGATGGGAAAGTGACTTATATCCATTGGTCAGTACAACTCTGATTTCACTCACAGTAGAGAAGATAAATATTGTGAAACAATTTGATATTCATCACTAGGGCTGTGCATTTGGAAGACAGTTGCTTTGATGGCTGCCTTTAAAAACAGTTTTGGTTCAGGTAGTAAATAGTGGGTTTTAAATTCTGAAGACCATTTTGGACATTTTACATGGTAGAACTTCCGATAGGAATTTCTTTTTTGAGGACATTGGATATAGAGCTGGGTGAGTCATGATGCCACTGTTAAAGAAGAAAGAGTTTCATAGATTCTGATAGAAAATGAACTAGTGCTCATAAAATAATTACTGAAGCACCCTTAGCATATTGATTTTTTTTTTTAAAGTACTGAGGCCTGGTTAAAAAATTGTAATAAGGAATAATAGATTTAATATGGATGACAAACTTTTGAGAGATTATTTGTAGTCTTGTGTTAGAAAACGGATGAATCTGGCTGAGATTTTGAAGATCTTGATGTAGCTAGCCTTTGGGAGATTTTGGTTAATTCATTTTGGAAACTGGTTATTTGGCATGTAGAATAGTCTATTAAAAATAGTGATAGGTATAGCTTTTACATTCCATATAGTGAAAGGCAGATTGCACAGGCTCCATTATTAAAAATATTTTGTATTCATGAATTTATGTTATTTGAAGTGGAGCCTACAGTTCTTTTGTTGACTCGATTCATCTGTAAAGGCTCCCTATGGTTAGAGGGGATAGTGTAATTCATGGTTGAAACTAGTTTATTGTACAAATGCTTTAGCATTTAAAGAGCAGAATCTATTGGGCATAAGTTTTTATATCTGTACATTTTCTTTGGATCTCTATATAATTCAATATAATGCTTACTTATAAACTCTAGGAAAATCCTCTAAGAAGTAACTTTTTGTCCAGATGGCTGATAGTTTGGGGTATAAGAGAAAAAATTAGGTATTGCATTATTATATATTTATATTATTATATGTAATATCATTACACATTTTTCGTGTCTCTTATACCCAGAGCCAGCTCTGTATGCTTTTCTGTTTCTGTTAAAAGTAGGAATCTTCAGAATGTCAGCACTGCTGAACAGCTGGTTGCTGGTGGACCATAGTGTCTGTGCAACCACAGTATTAGGCCACACCCTCTTCCCTTGGCTATATACTTCTTGCCAAATTGTTTGTGTGCCTCAGAGGGGGAGAGAGAGCGCGCTTAGGCCTGCTGATCCTTGAACTGCCTTGTGGTCATTGAGATGATGTGGCTTGTTGCTGGCACATGGGCATGTCTAGATTGGATGGGAACATTGGGAAGGGCTGATATGACCTCCTTTCTCTCACCAAACCTGTAGCAATATCACTTGTGGGATTTTTTTGTGAGTAAATACTTAATCACACTTTGTTCCTTATCTCACTTAAGTGATTGGTTTTTATTGCAAAAAAGTAGGCCATCTGTTTTACAGTTATTTCTGTTTATTTGGGAGGTTAAAAAACAAATTAATGAGCATCCACATTTGTCTGCACTTTTCTTTTGCAGAAATCATCTTTTCATACATAAAGCATAGCTGAGTATTTCGATGGTTCCTTACTTCCTTCTTCCCCATCACCCCTCTCCCCTTGGGGCTGAACACATTGGACAGAGAGCTTGATGCATTTAGCTCACAAATGCCCATTAACCAAAATGTAACGGATGAGTCTAATTTTAGAC